AAAACTATAGCAGTGACAACAATAGTAACCAAAATCAGGAGTAAAAACAAAGTCAAGGTGTGAACAAGAACAAAGCCATCTTTTAGAATATTTAGCGGGGGAAAGCCTGCATGAAAAGGTGAGTTTTAAGATGTTTTTTGAAGACCTCTACAGAGTTCAAGAGACGGAGATTTGAAGGTAGACTGTTCCAAAGTCTGGGGGCAATAGACTGAAAGGCCCTGTCCCCTTTGGCTTTTAGCCTGGTTCGAGGAACAGCCAGAAGGTTTTCAGATGTGGATCTGAGGTTCCGAGAGGTGGTGTGGGGGGATAAAAGCTCAGATAAGTAGCTTGGAGCCTGGTTGTTAAGAGCTCTATAGGTCAGCACTAAAACTTTAAACTGTATTCTATATTCTACCGGGAGCCAGTGGAGGGACTGTAAAACTGGAGTGATGTGAGCTCGTCTGCTGAATTTGGTCAGGAGTCTGGCTGCTGCATTTTGGATGGCTTGAAGGCGTGAGAGGGAGGTTTTGCTGAGACCAGTAAAAAGAGTGTTGCAATAGTCTAAGCGTGATGACACAAAGGCATGGATGATTTTTTCCAGATCTGCTGTGGAAACCAGTTTACGGACTTTTGAAATGTTTCTCAGTTGGAAGAAACAAGAGCGGGAGATGGTTTTGACGTGTGAGTCTAAACTTAAAACCGGATCAAAAATAACTCCCAGGTTTCTAATGTTGGCCTTGGCTGATGGGCAAAAGGAGGCAATTTCCTGCTCGATTTTTGGTTGAAGTTCCGGGGGTGCAGAGATCAGGGTCTCTGTCTTGTTGGCGTTGAGAACAAGAAAGTTGCTGGACAGCCAGTTACTGATCTGGGTCAGGCAGAGTACAAGTGTGGCCAGCCTGTCCAACTGGTGTGGCATAAAGGACATATAGAGCTGTATATCATCAGCGTAGATGTGGTAGGAGATGTCTGGGAAAGACTGAATGATGCCAGGTAGAGGAAGAATATAGAATGCGAATAGTAGAGGCCTTAGAACTGAACCTTGTGGAACCCCGCATTTTAGAGAGGCAGTGTCTGAAGAGAAGGTTTCTGACTTCACTGTGAATGTTCTGTTGGTGAGATAAGAAGAGAGCCAGTCTAGAGCAGAACCTGAAATCCCAGCCAAGGCATTTAACCTGTTTAGTAGGACGTTGTGGTCTACAGTGTCAAAAGCTGCACTGAGGTCAAGCAGGACCATGACAGAGCATTTCCCAGCATCAGCAGCCATTAGGAGGTCATTATACACCCTTACTAGAGCAGTCTCGGTTGAGTGCTGCTTCAGAAAGCCAGATTGGAAGGGGTCAGAGATCTTTGACTTGGAAAATCAAGATCTGAGTTGGGTTTCAACAACCTTCTCAAGTACTTTACTGATGAAAGGTAGCTTAGAAATGGGCCTAAAGTTACTGGTGGAGCTGGCGTCAAGGTTGGGTTTCTTTAAGAGAGGAGTCACTACTGCATTTTTAAAGTAAGATGGAACCCAGCCTTGGCTCAGTGAGCTGTTGATTATAGTCAACAGAGATGGACTGATGGAGGCAAGGGACCCGACTAAGACAGAGGGAGTTAAGATATCTGATGAGCATGATGAGAGTTTCATCTGAATGATTATTGAGGTTAAGTCATTTAGTGTAATTGGGGAGAAGGAGGTGAAAGACTCGGAGCACTGAGGAGCCTCCCCCCCTGAAGGGGGGAGGGCTGGTGGAATGCTGGATCTCAGATTCAGCACCTTGTTTGCAAAAAAGTGGAGAAAGGTGTTACAATCATCAGCTGAAGATAGCTTAGCCTGCTGCGGAGGAGAAGACACGATGCTGGAGATGGTATCAAACAAAACCTTAGGATTATTCTTATTTTGACATATGAGGTTGCTGAAGAAAGAAGACCTGGCATTTTCTACAGCTTCGTTGTATGACTCGAGAAGTTCTTTAAAATATTCGCGATGAACAACCAGACCTGTCCTCTTCCACCGTCGTTTCGCTTTTCTATAGGAGCGTCTAAGATCAATAATCTGGTTGTTCAGCCAGGGTGAACTGGAGGCACTGGAGCTGCGGCTGGTTTTGTAAGGGGCAAACTGCTCTAGAATTTTGAGGCAGAGATCATTAAATGAGTTTGTAAGGAGCTCTACGCCATCAGAGGAAGGAGGTACAAAGTGAAAGAGGGAGCAGAAATTAAAAATGGTAGAACAGTTGATAATACGTCGTTGCTTAGCAGAGACTGGTAAAAGAGATTCAGAATTTAGGTTAATATGAAAAGAAACTGACTTATGGTCACTGAACACAACATCATTTATCTGCAGTTTATCAACAAGAAGTCCGTAGGAGAAGACCAGATCCAGGGTGTGGCCTGCTCTGTGAGTGGGACCAGACACGTGTTGAGAGAAGTTAAAAGAGTTCATCATGTTTAGGAACTCCCTAGTGGAGCAATTAGATAGATCCTCAGCGTGGATGTTGAAATCTCCAACAATGACTATCCTGTCTAGTTTAATAGTTGAAGATAGGAGATCCTGAAAGTCAGACAGGAAGGATGAAGTAGATCCAGGTGGGCGATAGACCAGAATTCCATAAACTGGTAGAGCTCGACCAATTTTAATCATGATCATCTCAAATGAGCTGTAGGAGTTTGAGGAAATAATTTGGCACGAAAAATGTTTCTTAAAGATAACAGCCTGTGGTCCGTGGAGCAGAGAAGAAAGAGCAGTCTTGAGGACAGAGCTCACGGAGATGAGTGACGTCATTTTCGCGCTGCCACGACTCAGAAATCCACAAAAAGTTAAATTTTTCGGTGCAGAACAGATCGTTTAGGATGTGAGATTGTTGGCGACAGAGCGCGCGTTAATTAATGTCATTTTCACAGAGAAATCTGGCAATGTGTGTACCGCGGGCTCCATAATGGCGGTCGGCTGGCGGGCTAAGCTACGTAGCGACTCCAGGCTACGTCCGCGGAGGTTCTTTACCTTCAGGTAGCGTCCTGCATCACGGGCTCCATTGAGCAGCGAGATCAGCCCAACTCTGTTGAGTTTCTGTTGGATCCGCCACAACAGAGCCGCGGAGCAGCGATCGGGAAGAGCTTCGCCTCTCAGGATCTTTCGGAGCTGAACGAAGAAGCCAGCTCTCTTCCCCCGTTTCCTCTTCCATGGCCTCCTGGGCAGCTGCAGGCCGACAGGTAACAAAGGGCCGACAACTGGGTTAACGCCAGGTTCCAGAGGCGGTGGGAAAGCGGGTCCGGTATCGGAGTTCTGGAGGTTGACCATCGCGGACCTGATCGACAATAGTAAGTCTCGATCATATGTTAGCAGGGAATCCGCACCAGATAGAGAAAAAACAACAAAAAGCAACAAATAACCAAAACAGATCAGGAGCCTAGCAGACGCACAGCCACTCATGGGCGCCATCTTAGGACTTGTCAATAGCATCAGTCCCAAGGCTAAACCTTCACAACAAAACCTCAAATAATGTTCAATCAAACAAAGTCGAAATGTAAATTAAAAAACGGCATTTCCCAGCAGAAGCTCAAACGCATCCAGTTGTCTGCTCCAATGATGACTGTAAAATGCAGGCTGTAGCAAAAATCTTCACAACCTTGAAGAAGGCTCTTCACGGTTGTAAGTGCAGATCTAGCTCAGGCAACTGTTGCCATGTATTTGGGGAAGACTGAAACCCTGCAACTCAGTTGTGGCAAAGCTGACCACAGGAATGAGTCCAAATCTCTGTACATTGTTGAGAAGAATGTAATTTGGCAACAATGGCTCGCCTGTTGGAGAGCTTGATGGGGTCGGCCTATTGTCAGTTCTGACTCTAGTTGCAGCCTTTCTTTAAGCATTTTAGCCACAGTTGTTATCGAACTTGACTCCTGGCCCTCAGGAATTCAGAATATCAGAATATTGCATCTTTTCGACCGACCTTCCAGATGCTCGTATTCAGTTCCATAATGTCTTTCGTCAGCTCCTCTACTGCATTCTGCAGGGAGATAACGTCATGAAACCAGGTGGACAGTTCGACTTGCTCTACCTGACCTGCTCCATGTCAGACCAGAGCTCAGCAGTAGTATTCTGCAACTGGGCTCTCAGTGAAAGCAGCTCCCCCTTAATAAAGTGGAGGTGCACCACCATGGTACCCCTCAATTTAGTCTCAAACATCTCTGATTAGATAATCTTTCATGTTCAACAGATCTACTTTATCAGGTCTAGAATCCTGTGTCACCAGGTCCGGGAGGGTTGAGATTGCATCAGCCACCATCTTTCTTCAGAGTTATCTCTGTAGTTATGCTGCTATAGGCTTAGACTGCTGGAGGACATACTGACCACTTTCTACACTCGACTACTTTCATCTACAATCTGCTCTTTAACTGTATTATTTCCTGCTATTTCAGCTGTTAAACTTTATTTTTTCTTTAAGTGTTTTTCTCCCCAGAAGAAGCTACAATGATGTTCTGCTGAGCTGTGGTGGCCTCATGGAGGGGGTCATCGGCTAGCACACTGCTGCTAACCACTTAAACATTCTCCCTCTCCTGATAACATTTTACTCTCTTTGACATTGAATGTGCTACTACTAGTTTACCCGTTTAATTATAGATTCACTAGGATAAATACAATAAAGTTTACCTCTCACCAAATAGAATATTTACTAAGAAATCACGATGTAACCATGGAAACACTACTTGGTATATATGTTGTGTACAGGTATGTGCGTGTGTGTGCATGCGTGTGTGTGTGTGCGTGTGTGTGTGTGTGTGTGTGTGTGTGTGTGTGTGTGTGTGTGTGCGTGTGTGTGTGTGTGTGTGTGTGTGTGTGTGTGTGTGTGTGTGCGCGCGCGCACAGCTGCCCCCTGTTGGTTCACTCCTTCTGATTCACAGCAACAGCAGCTGAGGGGTAAAAGCTTGCTGAACGATCTACTAACATCTCCATCTCAGATTTTAGGTTCAGACTGTTTCAATTATGTCAGGATTCATAATAAACTTAACCAATAATATGTTTCCAACTGGCCTTCACTCACCACAGTCTGCAGAAACACATGTTGTGGTTCGGGTGTTGTAACCTTCACACAGGGCTCCTCCGTACTGACTTGGCTGCACTACAAATCGGGTGGAGCTTTGTTGTCCAGTACCACAGCTGGCTGAGCATGGGCTCCATGGTGACCAGTTTGACCACTGACAGTCCACTGTAAATATGAAAGATGGCAGAGAAATATAACCTTAAACTTTGAACTTTGGAACCTCTGGCCTTGATCATATTTGGCCAAATAAATTTGCCCAAAAAATGAAATGACAGATAATCTACAAGAAAAAAGAAGTCTACAACTAAAAGTATTTCTCTCATTAAGTAGACTCTAATTCATATCTGAGCTACTGTCATAAACAAACCTTCAGAAGAAAATATTTATTGCAATTATCATAAATTCTATGGGATACTCTGGTTAAAGGGTTAGGAGTTTGCCACGTGAGCAGTGGGATGCTAGTTTGAATCCAGCATCAATCCTTGTCAGTCATTGGATCGTTGGGCAATACAAATCACCCTCCTTACCTGCTGGTGGCAGTTTGACCTCTAATCCACACTGGAGGCATCAGTGATGAGGAACGGCAATGGAGCAGTTTACTTCCAGCAGAGACTTCCATTGGCTTCTTCTCTGCCATCCTACTCGCTGGACTCATGAAATCAAAAACTTCCTCAAGACTTCAAAGGCATGGCTCGTTTACGCCAGCCACCATTAAACCAAAAAGAAGACGAAGGAGATTTAGTTTGATATCTCCAATAGGGTTGGGCAATGAGCATCATTTGGAACCGGGACTTACTGTCAGTTTTCCTGGAATCGTTCAAATTTTTTATTTAGACTCCTAGTTTAAATTCCCAGGCTGCCGACTGGAAGAACAATCTCTGTCCAATCTCTGTGAACAAAAAGTGATCTGCAGAAAAATTGAGCGTTTGTGGAAGAAAACCCGTCTCCACGTCCATCTGCTGCATCTAAAAGATCATCTGACATCCTTTAACTCTGCAGTCAGAGACTCGACGGTTGCCTATTTCTCCAACCTGGTGTCCCAGAGCAAAGGGAACCCCAAGGTGCTGTTTAACACCATCAGCAGCATCGTCTCTCCTGCCTCTCCTACAGCCTCCATCCATTCTGTTGCAGACTGTGAGAACTTTCTGTCTTTCTCTGTGGACAAAGTCAATAAGGTTAGATCTAGCATCTCTCCTTCAGCCTTATCACTGCCTCTCCCGACTCCAACCAGGCCCATCATCCTAGATAGCTTTGCTGCTGTTTAGCCTGAGCTAACCAAACTAGTTAACTCTATGAAGACCTCTGCATGCCCCCTCGACATCTTACCCTCATCTTTATTTAAAAGTACTTTTCTGTCCATCGATCCCAGCGTGCTCTCTATAATTAATGCTTTTCTGGTCTCTGGTCAGGTCCCTGCTTACTTTAAGAACGCTGTAATCCATCCGCTTCTTAACAAAACCGAGTCTCAACCCCTCTCTACACAGCAGCTTCAGACCCATCTCTAAACTTCCGTTCATCTCCAAGATCTTGGAAAAGGTTGTGGCTAAACAACTCAGCAGCTCTTGATGAACATAACATCTATGATAGCTTCCAGTCAGGTTTTCGTAGAGCTCATTCTACTGAAACAGCTCTTCTTAGAGTCTCTAATGACCTTCTGACTCACAGTGATGCAGGGGACCGTTCTGTTCTGATCCTGCTGGACCTGACTGCAGCCTTTGACACTGTTGACCATCACCTGCTACTGGAGAGGCTGAGAGACTGGGTAGGCCTATCAGGATCTGCCCTGGAGTGGTTCTCCTCTTATTTGTCTGAGTGCTCCTTCTCTGTGGCCATCTCCAAGTTTAGGTCCTCCACCACCTCCCTCACCCATGGTGTCCCACAAGGTTCTGTGCTGGGGCCTCTACTCTTCCTCCTCAATCTGCTTCCTATTCAGCACATCCTGAGCTCCTTTAAAGGAATCTCCTACCATCTTCATACAGATGACGTCCAACTGTGCATCTCCTTTAAGTCCCATGAGATATCCACACCTTCATCTCCTCACGCTTAGACTACTGCAACTCTCTTTTCACGTGTCTAAGCAGAACCTCCCTGAACCGTCTACAGGTAGTTCAGAATGCCTGTGCTCGGCTTCTGACCAAGTCCTCCAACACTCTTGTGTGACCGTCAGAAGGCTGAGCAATAAGCTGTAGAACAACTAAAGTCATCACACTAGAGCAGCTCTCTCTGTGGTGGACCACATCGGGTTCTGCCTCTAGGAGCTGATAGGGATCCTAAATAAATAAATATAATAATAATAAATCTCACCAAATGCAAGGTTGTGAGATTTGTTTTCCCTCTTTTTAAAACTATTTAGTCTGTTGAGAGTTTTAACATTTTAAATGTGTTAGGTTGTTACTGACAGCAGCTACATTTAAGTTTAGTTTCCCTTCTGACTGAACGGCTGCTGCAGCAGGTACGTGTAGGCTCAATCATACCGGACATAATCATCCTGATGGTTTTAGGTGCAAACAGATGGACGTTTTGCCTCTCATCCGAGAAGCCTTCAGTTCCCAGACTTTGGTTGTGGTCAGAAACAAGCACACAGGTTGTGCTACAAGTCTTTTTCTTGCTAGATACTTTTGTTCACAGAATTAAAATTCATGTTGAAGTTCAGATTATTTCATCAAGTAAGATCCGTGGTTAGCTGGCTCACTTAAAACTTGTAATGCTTTTGGATCCTGCCACTTGAAAGAATCAGAATCGGGAATCGATAGGAACCGGACTCGAAACGAGGGATCAGAATCGTTCAAATTCAGACAATGCCCAGCCCTAATCACCGTTTGATTTCATATTTAATGTTTGTCCTCTCAGGACTAAAGCCATGAAAAACACAAAGTTGCACTTCCAAAAAGATGCCATTAGGTCATATTTATTAATGTAATAGATAACAAATCACTTCTCCACAATAGTCTTTTATTCTGAAAAGTTTACACTGATATCATGTGTGATATCCTGTCTAGCCCTATGTGAAAATGTACGCATCCCAGAAGTGGCTGGCAGCAAAAAGAGAACACAGTCCTATCTTAGTGGCCGGTTTGGATCAACCCATTGACTAGAATGAATTCTAATATAAGCAGAGACGTTCCTCCAGTGTGGATTGGGGGCGGGTACCATGGCAGCTTTGCCCCAAGGCAGCTGTGGCTACACTGAAGGTGTAAAGTCCTCTGATGCTCCACAAGTGCAACTCATTAACCATTTACTATCAATCTGTGAGTGGAAACTGTAAGCAGCCTTACTCACCATCACAGGTGTCAGAGCTACAGTTGAACGCTCCATCCTGGCAAACACTACAGAGAAGTAAAACCAGAGAATTATCATTGGGACAATGTAATTAGCAATAGTTAGGGCAACAATTTAACACCTACTGCAATGCTAACCCAGTCACAAAAACCCCAAATAAGCTCATTGTCTCATTGTTACTGATGTGCTGCATTCAATGAACACAGGTTTGGTTTGGTTAATTAGTTAACATCCAAATACAGTTAAATAACTTGCAGAATCTACTTTATCGTCATTGCCTCAGCGTGCTGAAGCATATAACCATAGAACAGCCTGACCAAGGTTACACACAGACGTGTAGAACAAAAACACAGATACAGGCAGACCACCTTCTTAGGTAAATGAATTGAACACAAAATATCAACATGCTTACAAAACAAATCACTCAACCACTACTGCACTTATTCAAATAACTGATTATTGCTTAGAGAATATCGATAATAATAAGCTAATTGGTTCTATATTTCTTGATTTAAGTGCAGCTTTTGATGTTTTAGATCATGATATTTTACTACAAAAACTTAAACACTATGGATTTCATACATCTGCTCTTAGCTGGACTAAAAGTTATCTTACTGACAGAGAATATCAATTTTATTTCAATGGCAGTTTTTCTGAAAAGGGTCTGATGGAATGTGGTGTTCCACAGGGAAGTTGTTTGGGACCTCTTTTGTTTTCTATTTTTTTTGAATGATTTTCCGTGGGTGCTGCAATGCGACTACAGCAGTATATGCAGATGATATTACTGTTTTAGCTTCAGCACATACGGAGAGAGCATTGAATGAAATATTAAATAAAGAGTTAAGAACAGTCGAGCAGTGGATAACTGCAAACAAATTAGTGATTAATGCAGGAAAAACTAAATGCATGGTAGTTGGCTCCAAACATACTTTACAGACGATGCCAAAGTCACATTTAACCCTGAGTAACAACGTAATAGAACAACTAGTAGAAGTAAAATTACTGGGAGTAATAGTTGATTGTAAGTTATCATGGAAAGCCAGATTAATTATGTTTTACACAAAATGGGGAGAGGTATGGGCATAATTAAATTTTGTTGCAAATTTATACCACAATATTTACTTAAATGCCTTGTTCAATCATTGGTGCTTTCTTGTGTAGATCAAGCATCTATTATTTGGTCCAGTACAAGTGAAAATAATTTGCATAAGCTACAAGTAGCACAAAATAAAGCTGCTCGTATTGTTTTAGGCTGCCCTTACAGAACGAATGTGGGAACCATGCATGAAAATCTTGCTTGGCTTGATGTGAAGAGTAGATTGAAGTATTTCTTGGTAACAACTGTGAGGAAAATAATAATTACAAAAACACCAAAAATTATACATAGCAAATTATTGTTTTTTTCAGATAATCATACTAAATACACGACAGATAAATGAGATGAAATGTGTTTTACCACGCAGTAGAACAAATCAAATTCAACGACCTTTTCACTATAAAGCTATGATTGCATGGAATGCATTACCTAGATTTGTAATTTTTGAAAGTAATAACATTTCTTTTCAGAAGAAAATTTTTTGTTTACACACTTTATTGTATAGTGACAATGAACTCTGCAATGAAGGATTGTGAATCTGGGTTTGAGGTCGAATACTGGATATCGATGAACTATGATACGAAACAATGGACATGATGTCACCATTCTGTTATATTTTATTTTCAATCTTTATTGGTGTGATTAACTCCTTTCCCGATATTACTTTATATATGTAATTTTGTTCTACATATGTGATTTCATCTTGAGCTACTGGTATTATGTGAATTAGGGATGTGTGAGCGTGAATGTGGGTGTGTGTGTATAGGGTATTGTCTTATGTAAACAATTGTATGAAAATGTATGGGACCCCAGGAAGACTAGCATCTACACTTAGGCAGAAGCTAATGAGGATCTCAATAAAACGAAACAAAACCACCAGAGCAGCTATTTCCAGTTGGACAAAAGGTGAAGACATGTTCCATCCAGACAAGAGGACCAAGAGCCAAAGGAAACGCAACTGCACCCTCAATGAAGACCCAAAAAATGTTTCTGAACTGTTTCAACTTAGCAGTCCTCCCTTGGTATTATTAGTCTAAATCTCCCAGATTAAAAAAAATCTATCTGGTGCAAAATTTATTTATTTCAGTAATTCAACTAGACTGAGAGACAATATAAGGGCTCAGGAACTCTTTGCAGGTGGTTTCTATTTGTAATTATACATTTTAGTTGATTTGGGTAGTGTTTCATATCGCACTGTCACATTTGAAAATAAATGCATTTATTTAGAAATTAAAAAGCTTTCGTTTACTGTAATAATAACCATGTCGAATGTTTGATTCTGTCTCTGTCATGTTCTGTGTCTCTTTGGTCCCCAGCCCCTCCCTGGTTTCCCCCATGTTCCCCTAGTCACTTCACTTGTTTTTAGTTTTCTATAGGTTCAGATTCTCTAGTTCAAATCTCATTTAATGTGTTGTGTTTCCTTCCCCTTTTAGGTAATTGGTTTACTTATCTTTAGATCTCCTGTGTCTTAGTTCTACAGTGTTTAGGCTTATTTTAGTTTAGTAGCTTTTGTTTTACAGGATATAGGTCTGGTTTTCTCCCCTGCCAGTTTCTGCCAGGGGTAACAAAGGCAATGACATTAATCACCAGACACCACACCTCCTGCTCTAGCCAATAACAGAGCTGTTGCTAGGCTGAGGCCGTGTCTTCACTAGGAACTAGCAACCACCAAAAGAGGCGCAGCATACCACAGCTTGACTGAGAAGATAAGTACTGAGGCCTAGTCCACACGTAGCCGGGGTTCTTTGAAAACGAATAGCCGCCCCTCCAAAAACTTGCATCCACACCACCGCATTTTAAAAACAAACTCTGTCCACACGTACCCGGATAAATACGTTGTTAAGGACATGCCAGACCCGTAGGCGGCAGTACTTCCCCCGTTCTTAACCTCGTCCTTCGTCTGTGGTCTTCCGCAAGGAGCAGTAATTCCGAATGCAAAAACAAACAAGCAGAAAGCGCTTGGACAATTGATGGATCGGGTAGTGACAAAGCGCAGCTCTGAGGGCTTCCACGATGCCGGCTAGTGTAAACACAGGTCACATATGTGATGTCAGCATTTTTTGTCGTGGAAAGTGACGTTGCGGACCTTAAAACTCCGGTTTTGTCTGTCCACACGCAGACACCCAAAACGGAGAAAACGCAGATCTTCACTTTGGCCGGAGTTTTTAAAAAGATCCATTTTCGTGTGAAAAAACTCCTTTTTCGTGTGGATGACAGGCCAAAAACGTAGAAAAACATCTACGTTTTGGCAGATCCCCGGCTACGTGTGGACAGGGCCTGAGACTTGCCTTAAAACATGAATACTTAAAAAGAACATTAAGACAGTCAGTTAAATAAAAACTTTAACACCATAGAAAATGTATCCTTTTGGGCTTTCGCCAAGGATCTTCAAGAGGTTTTTGGCTATTAACCACAACCACCGGCGGTACAGACCGCTATGTTATCCTCCATTTCCGAAGGCAGCATCTCTGCACCTCTGATGGGCCGAACCACCACATCCTCATCTCTAATGGGCTGTCTTTCCACATCGACCTCTTCACTGCCTGGTTCTGACAGCTCTGCCTCTTCATCCCCGGTAGTCCTACCATCCGTCACAACAGCCAAGGGTCCAGGCTTCCCCTTAAGGTCAGCGTTGCTGGCAAGGCGCAGTTCCTCCTGATGCCACCTCCAGTCTTCTGGTGGGTCAGGTCACTAAGGGATCTGCCGCCTCACCTCATGACCCATGGGGCTGAATGGTGGCGCAGTGGTTAGCACTGTTGCCTCGCAGCACGAAGGTTGCAGGTTCGAAACTCGGCTCGGCTGTGGCCTTTCTGCGTGGAGTTGCGTGTTCTCCCCATGCATGCGTGGGTTTCCTCCGGCCCTACAGGTTATAAATTGTAAGTCGCTTTGGATAAAAGCGTCTCCTAAATGAATAAACATAAACATAATCTGCGCTCAGGGCCTGGAGTCGCCCCAGGACTTCCACACCACAGTGTCAACATCTTCCAACACTGCAAGCTCAACCCAAGCTCCATCCACCAACCACCCGAGCCAACAACTCTGCCACATCTCCTCCATCCACCCTGAGATGTCACCACCTTCAGATTGCTGCTCCTACAGTCAGAACCGGCTACCTCTCCTTCTCCCCAATCCTGTTAGTGCCACCACCGGTTCCGACAGCTCCGCAGCCTCATCACAGGTGGACTGTTACCCAACACCATAACGATGACGTCATAAACGTCTCCACCGTCCTCCAGACGCCCAGTCCGAGCTCCAACATCCTCCAGACGCCCAGTCCGAGCTCCAACGTCCTCCAGACGCGCAGTCCGAACTCCAACGTCCTCCAGACGCCCAGTCCGAGCTCCAACGTCCTCCTGGCGCCACCTCCAGTGTCTGGTGGGTCAGGTCTCAACAGGTCCTGCCGTGCCCTCGCCTCAAGGTCTATTTTTCATGGCCAGGAGTCCCTCTTCCTGATGCCTGCTTACCTCCAGAGGGTACATGGGGTCCCCCGCTACTGCTTGGCCCAGAGTTTCCGCCTCCTCCTGTAGATGTGCCAGAGACTCCACCTGCAGCAGCTCCAGAGGCTTGGGCCCCACCTGCAACGACTCCAGAGACTTTGTCCCCGCCTCCAGAGGCCTCGTCTTCAGAGACTTCGTCCCCGCCTCCAGAGGCCTCGCCTTCAGAAACTTCATCCCCGCCTCCAGAGGCCCCGCCTTCAGAGTCTCCAGTGGCCCTGCCTCCAGGCCAGTCAGCAGCAGCGCCTCCAAGCCAGACAGCGGTTACTGCCAGCCCTGTCCTCACCTGTTGCCTCCTGTACCCCGGACGCAGGCCCCCCAGACTCCGGCATCACCACCGCCTGTGTCCATGGCCCCCAAGGGTCCACCGGCTCCACCGCCAGTGTCCTCGGCTTCTGTCTCCCGCCCCTGCCTCATTGCCGCCGGCCCCCCAGTCTCCTGGTCTCTGGTTCCCCGTCGCCGGCCCCGCAGAGTCTCCTGGTCCCCAGTTCCCCGTCGCCGGCCCCCCAGAGTCTCAAGGTTCCGGCTCTTGGTCCCCCATCGCCAGCTCCCCAGAGTCTCCTGGTCCCTGGTTCCCCGTCGCCGACCCCCCAGACTCTCAAAGTTCTGGCTCTTAGCTCCCAGCCCCTCCCAGGTTTCCCTCATGTTCCCCTAGTCACTTCACTTGTTTTTAGTTTTCTCTATGTTCAGATGTTCTAGTTCATATCTCCTTTAGTGTGTTGTGTTTCCTTCCCCATTTAGGTAATTAGTTTACTTATCTTTTGATCTCCTGTGTCTTAGTTCTACAGTGTTTAGGCTTATTTTAGTTTAGTAGCTTTTGTTTTACAAGATTTAGATCTGGTGTTATCCCCTGCCTGTTTCTGCTCCTCCTCTCAGTTTATTAGTCTCACCTGTGTCCAATTCCCTTAATCACCCAGCCCCTGTGTAATCACCCTGTCCTGTCACTCAGTGTTTTGTTGGTCCATTGTCTTTGTTAGCGTGCTAGTTTGCCTCCTGTGCTTTTGAGTAACTCCTCTACAAATAAAGGATTCTTATTTTTGCAACCGCTCCTGCCTGTGTAGTTCTGGGTTCCTACATTTTGGGTCCAAGCCTCCTTCCCTCAACGTGACAGTCTCATTCTTCTTCATTATACTATCATATCAAAGCAATTTTATAATTTAATAAAATCTAATCTAATCTAATGTAATATAAAAGAATATAATTGAACCTATAATATAACCTAAAATAAAATAATAAAACATAACATAACATAATATAATTTAAAATAAAATAATATAATATAACAAAACATGATATGTTATATTATGTTATGTTATATTATATTATATCATAATATATAATATAACATAGCATAACATAAAATAATATCATATAAATAACATAATATAATATATAATATAACATAACATAACATAATACAAAATAATATAATATAAATAATATCATATAAATAACATAATATAATATATAATATAATATAATATAATATAATATAACATCTTTGTTAAGTGCAGGATGCAGAGACATGGTGCACCATTATAACGTCCCCAGAGAACAAACTCATTCCTACTAGAGACCTCTGCAAATGTATTGATGAAACAAGTTTTCCACTCCTTTAAGCAATTAAGGGGATTTCCGAATTTATCCTGACTGAGTTGTTTTGCTGTTACCTGATCTGGGATAGATAAAAAGCAATCCACCCATGTCTGTCTAAAGCTACCTCATTAGCCTAAATCCAGGTTCACAGTGTATTACCATGTGTTACAGAGATGCTGAATAGTTGTTCCAGGCTGCAGCAGAACGTCTGTGAAGACCTCCAAGCTTGCATTCCACTTTTGGAATTGAGTCAGTAAAGAGAGGGTTGAACAGGGACAATAAGAGTGATCCACACAGGAACCCCCGTGCAACACCTACAGAGAACACAGAGACACTTTTAGAGTTAGCCGGGCTTTCCAGATACACAGACATGGATATACAGACCTGCTGTGGAGGACATGTGCAGCCAGGGACACATGCTCCAGGTAAACACTGTGTGTGTGGCCAGAGGTCCTCACAGGTATGCGGACAAGAACCTGAGCAATCACTGTACACCTGGTGGTGGGGGCATTCTGCAACACATAACATAATGTATTCACAGCCAATGTTTCTACGTCAGACTCAATAAAGCTAAATACTTTTGAAGTTGTAAATACCAAAGTCACACCACCGGTTGATTAAAATGAAAATGAATTTTAAATAAAATAAACTAAGACTCAAACCAAATAAAAATGTCAAAATGAAGACTGGTGTGACTTTCTGTGAAAGGTCAGGTACATTAGGTGTGTTACAGATGAAGCCTGAGGCCATGTTTCACATAGATGGCTTTGTTCTAACCCTCTCTAGGACCATCGGTCTCTTCTGTCCTACATGAGAACATTATCGTCTCTAAAAGGGTAAACTTTGTCTGCAGATGCAGACGGACTGCTGAGACTGGACCTGGTGAGTTGGCTCTTCATTGTTGTAGTGTATATCATGACTGCCTGTATTCAAGCCTTCCTGCTGGGTTAGGGTCATTCGCAGTACTGGCACTTCTCATTTTTATCTCAGTGTACCAGCACCTTTTTTCTAGGCTGCTTTGTTAGTTGAAATCTCTGAAATTTCTGAAAAAAATTATCTGTCCGTCTTCTAGTCAACACCAGCCATCCACAGTCCCGTCCCCACCAGTGCCGCCTCTCCTCATAGCAGAAGCTTCAAGAGGAAGCATTCTCTGCAAATGTGCCAAGGGCGCAGCGCTACCTTCAGCAGGCAAGAGGAGTTTTCCGACAAGCACACATTCCCGCATGCAGCACCCGACCAACGTGTGGGTAAATGTGCCGACAGGTCCAAGGTGGAGGAGAGGTGGCATCCAAACAGAAATACAGATCAGGAGTACTAGAAACAAAATGTCCAAACAAGAGGAGGAGCGAAAGTGGAAACAAAAAGAAAACATTCACATAAATACCCCAGCTGCTACTAATCATGAGACAGAAGAGAGGATAATTCTGTCTTGATGTGGACTGCAGATTCAATTTTACAGCAGCTGATGATCATTTATTAAATTCAGGGCCGGTGCTAGCCATTTGGGTGCCCTAAGCACAAATGCTCTGTGGTGCCACCACCCACAGCTTTTGGAAATGGACAGAAAGAATACAGTTATGTTAAAACCAAGCACACCATTGTTTTTGTTGTGAACTTCCCAATATGTTTGATGTGTCACATGACCCTCTTCCTATTGAAAAAAGCTGCGTAGAAGAAACAGATTCTACATAGTGAGTACTGACTGTTGCTGTGTGTGTGTGTGAGACCTGCTGTGTTTGCTTTTAAATTTTTTTTTATTTGAATTAAAAACCTGAACATAGCAACTCATTTTAATCAGTAAATAATCCAGCTGAATGATTATTTTGAAAGAAATTCTGATCACCCCACCCCCAATCAATCCCTGCTCCTGGATAAAAAAACGGACATTCTGATCAACGTAGGACACCCCCCCCCCCCCCCTTCCTAACCCTAACCTCAGCAAAAACCTAATTTAAACCATACCTCTAAAACCAACTGGTACAGTTTCAAAAAAGCGAGTACCACCAAAATGTCCTCACTTTGACCAATGACCTCACTCTCTTGGTGAAAACCTCACGTTGGTCCTCAGTAGGTAGTAAGTACAAGAACACACACACACACACACACACACACAGTAGGCTGTACTCACCAAGTTCTGCATTTCTTCAGCGCAACAGGGACATTTTCAGATGCAGGGCTGGCACACAGAACCGAACCAAACCAAACCAAACCAAACCGGAATAGCTCAGAATCACACTGCAGCACAGCGAGTGTTTTAAAAAGGTAATCCAAGGAACCCCAGCATGTTTGGTACAGTTCTGACCTTTTTTGTTGAAGTTATTAATCTTTTAAATGTATGTAGGTGGTGCTGTGGAGAAAGTGGATCACATGCACCAACATTTTGCATATGGTTCAGTTAGGAGCTGCATAAATATCCATTTCTTTAAATTTGATGCAGACCAGAAGATGAATGTGGAAATTACAGCCAACGAAGTTCAATGGCATGTAGTCATTGCTACCACATCTCCACACCTTCATTGGCAGTACTAGATGCAGTTGTATGTCATCATGTGTCCTGGAACTGGGCAGTTTATCATCTTGATTAGATGAAAGAGGTCAACTGTTGACCTGTTTAAGACTAGCTGCTGTGAAGGGGCATGGCTTTGGCGATGTCAGCAAATGAACAAGTAAATAGCTTCAGGTCTGGTCTGTGATGATGCCCATGAAGTTTGAATTTGCTCTGATCATGCAGGTGGAAATTATAAAACCAAGGAATTTCATGGTGACAGGTCAATATTTGAAGCTTAGCCACACTGACACCGTAAGACTTTTCAAAAACCTGTAGGTTCAGTTTATTCCCCTATGTCTTAAGAGTCCATAGCAGAAATTTTAAGGTGATAGTTGAAAAGGGTGATGGGGGCTTAGCGTACCTTTAACATGTGCAAAAAACACAAAATGGCATAATTGGACCAAAATGGCTGACTTCCTGTGGGATATAGCACATGGCTCAAAATGACTTTTTTGTAGGTCCTGAGTCACTACAAAAGTGTACAAAAGTTCACAATCATTCAAAGCATGGCTTTGGGCTGTGAGTTTTAATGGTCCCAGGAGGTGCTATTTCTAGAAATTGGCCACGTCCACCAAATTTTGACAGCAGTTTCTATTGGGGGTCAGACTAGGACCACTCACCAGAAATTTTGTGACAAAAGGGGAGGCAAACAAATGGCCATAGCGTAACACCTGACTTTGGCACACCATCACAGCCCTGCCTTCTTTTGAAAGCTCCATAAAATGATGCCAAGCAAACCCAAGCTTTCTTCAATTACCTGCTACAAATCTGTGGTGAGTAGGTGAAATGGCAAGATTTAGGACCTTTCAGAGTAAAACTTGACATTTTGCATCCTGGGGGGTGGGGCTTGTGTGAAATCATCATTAAACCATCAATTTTTCTTTGGGGGCCGATGAGGAACAGCCATAGAAAATTTAGTAACTCAATTCCTTTTGGATATGAAATTATAGCTGTTAATATTTTTTGGTAAAAGTAACTAGAATTTTTTGATTTAGCATTCAAAGATCAGTCAGGTTGATGTTTCATATTTATATGGAATTATCACATCTGATTGATCATTTGTGATAAATGTAGACAATCCTTAACTCTGGATACCGGCCCTCCAGGCTTGGAATTGAACACCCCGTCTCTAATCTGTCCTGTTTTCACTCATTTCCTCATCTTTGTGAAGCGTTGTTTATTTTTAATTCCTTAACTTGATTTGCCCCCACCTAAATTTACAGGTCCCATTATCTGCGATCGGAGATACGTGTGTGCAGTGCTGGTTGTTGGCATGGTAACAAGGTTGTTCACTGAAGAACAACGTACTTTAACAAATGTAATAAATGATTCGTGTTTACAACATTACAGCAAAAAATACACAGGGACAATGAAAGGGCTGTCACTGTTAATGTAACAGCAATCAATACAAAGCTTTAAAAATGAAAAATGACTCTGACCATCAGGTTTGTCGACATAGTTGGGACTTATCAACTAATATGAACAGCACTAAATGGAAGTCTCCTTCAATGTGCTTTATATTACCAGGTAGGCAGCTGCTGGTGTTACAGATCATATGTTGTTCCAGTGGTCCGATGCAGGCTGCCCCACCAGGCTCTGGCTCTTGAAGGATTGTTTTGTTCCGTGTCGAAACCCCACCCCCACAGGTGGAGGTGCACTCACTCCAGGTGGACCACTTGCTTAACAAACAACCCGCTACACAAAGAAGAAAGCTGGAATGATTACATGGGTAGAGGTGTGCGTTTTAAATCAAGTGCAAGTCAATAAGAATGACGTCGTTTGCAACACATCTTGTATTCCTTCCACCTCTGACCTGGACAAGAGGGCAAATCACAGCTTTCTATCAGCTTGGTGTCTGTGCAGTATGGTCCACCTTCACTGTCTTGGCAGCTCCGTGTCCTCGTTCTTTGACCACGTCCACAGGAGACTGAGCAGGAGCTCCATGGGCTCCAAAGATCGTAAACTGGACATGGAAGCTCAGTACACACCAGAGTACCATTCTCACACACGCTGCAGATTAGGAAGTTTAATCAGGTGTCTCATTCCATTTTAGAGGGGGAAAAAAAGGTCTGAGCAGTAGTACAGCACAACATGTTGCTCTAAAAGTCTCAGCAAATCACACATGTTCTCACCAGGTGTTACAGTCATCGACAAGCTGTCCTTTAGGGTTTAACTCCAACGTCCTGTTGTTTGACGGGATCCCACAGCGACATTCTGTCACTGGCACACAGTGGTTGTCCTGCAGCAGTTGTCCATCTGGACACCGGCAGCCTGAGGGTAGGGTAACAGAAACAAAAAGGGGAACACTTAATAATAATCTTTTGCTATTAAAAATTAGTATGTGTTTAGTAAAGCGTGAACAGGTCATTTCTTAGGTATTAGGTAATTATACAATTCTATTTTACAGGCTGTGATGATGTTGTCTCTCAGTGCGCCCCAGGGCAGCTGTGGCTACATCGTGGCTACACACCAGTGTGTGAATGGATGAATGACTGACTGTGTTGTGAAGTGCCATGGGGGGTTGTACAGGTCCTTCTAAAAAAATTAGCATATTGTGATGAAGTTCATTATTGTCTGTAATGTACTGATAAACATTAGACTTTCATATATATTAGATTCATTAAACACAACTGAAGTAGTTCAAGTCTTTTATTGTTTCTAATATTGATGATTTTGGCATACAGCTCATGAAAACCCCAAATTCCTATCTCCAAAAATTTCGCACATCATGAAAAGGTTCTCTAACCGAGCTATTTACCTAATCATCTGAATCAACTAATTAAACCTAAACACCGGCAAAAGATTCCTGAGGCTTTTAAAAACTTTCAGGGATGTAGGGGTGGCCGGCCCCGTGTGGGGATGGGGGGGGGGGGCTTGGGAGTCGGGTCCATACATGTATGCTGTCTGGAAGAAGGCGAAACATGCGGCAGTGCCTGGCCCGGGCTCAAGGGCCTCAGGTAGACCTTGGCTTCTCTGCTTTACCATCACAGGGGAGGGGGATGTCAAGGACGAGGAGGACCCAACCTTACCTAGATGTCCTATGTCTTATATATTCTGGAACCTGTGCAAATGCAGGGATGGGATTCGATATTCTACTAGGGTAGGGCTGCATTGGTTCCCTTGGACTCCGTTGAACTCTGCGATGCTGCTGCTTTGGGCCCTGGTTAGATGGGCTGGGGTCTCCATGCCCATGGTGGCATTTTGGCAATGGAGGTGCCTATTGGGGCCAGTGGGGGAGCTGGCTCCCAGGAAGGCTTAGGCCAACCAGCCATTCCTCCCCATCCCCACACACATTTTTCTCCTCCTGTTCCCTCACATCATCACACAAACATGTACATAGGACCTTGGGGGTGGACAAGTCAGGGAGTGCGGGTATGGACCCCATTTCCACATTCCTGTGGCAACCTGCCCCCCAATTTTATTTGCACATTAAACACTTCCACCAACGACATTCCACCCAAACACACACTTAGGGCCTTGGGAGTGAGCACATTCAACGGCATTTGGCAAGGAGATCTTTCAGCCTCATCCCAAGTGCCGTAGCCCACTTCCAATTTTAAACTGCACTTAGACACTGAGGGCGGTAGGGGGAAGAGGGGTGGTGTGGTGGCCTCAGCTGGCGTAGGCCAGATGATGCCTCCACTGCCTGCTCACCACAGCCATGGAATACACCTCATCAACACGCACCAACACCGTTGTAAGTCTTGTGTTGTATGTGTATGTGTGAGCATGAGGGAGGGAGTGTGTGACTGTGTTTGTGTATGACTGTATATGTCAAGTGGGCCTTTGACTCCTCCCCTCTCCTGGGACTTCTTTTGATGCTATACATCTTCGCCTCCCCTTCCCCTGCCACACTTGGTCTGGAGTGTGGTGCTTTGGTCTGCCTGAGTGTTTGCGGCTCCCGGGTAAGGGGGTTTAAGATTTTTGGCGTCTGCCTGATTAATCCAGGTGGCTGCCTGGTGGGATCTGAGTCCCTGGGCTCTGTTGGGTCACCCCTGGGTCGCAGGTCGCTGGGTTCCGGGCTCAGCCGGCTTGGGGGTGGGAGGCTGCGGGCGGGCCTGTGGGCTTGCTGCTGATATCCCCAGGGACTCTGCCGGCTGCTGGTTGTGGCCTCCTGGGGCAATCCTCTGCACCTCTCGAGGGGGGCAGGGGCTTTTCCGGTTGTAGTCTCCCTGGGGTCCCTGCACTCTGGGGCAGCTCCTGGATCTCCAGGACTTGGAGCTCCTTCCATCTCCTACACATCTTTGCGGGACAGATCTGTGGCCCCTCACACTCTCTATTGGATGCTCCTATAGAGAAATCTTACTTAAACAAGCACGGGTACACACACAGATGCTCACATGATGCTCTCATAAGTATGGACTTGGGCACGTTCAACACGTCTTACGACTGTGGTTGACACTTAATGCACTGAGATTTATTATCATGTGATTGTTCAGTAAAACAATGTTGATTTTATATTTCCTCATCAGGTTGACGCAGTGATAATTTGCTCCTGTTGTATTGTTCTGTGTCCCCTTTTCTGCAGGCCTAGAAGCAGACTCTTGTTCATCATTGATTGTTCATTTCTGTGGGACACCCCCCCACCCCCCTTGTCCGTTCCTTTCCCTTTCACCTCTGTCTCCGTGTCTGGCTTGAATTACAAGCATTCAAAAAACAACAACAATAAAGTTTTAAGTATCAGGCATGACATTAAAAGCAGACGCTTTGATGCTCCGCCTGAGAGTAAATCTGTTAGGCTTGTCACCAGCATTAAGACATTAATTCTGTTTGCTTCACAGCCAGACAGGACACGGGAAAAAATGAAAATAAAAAAATTAGTATTAACTTGAGTGCTTCAGCCTTCTTCCACTTCACTTATAAATGTTTATGTAAATGTTGTCACAATCCTTTATTAATGATTTGTTCATCATTAACTGAGACCTTGCAAATGTTCTGTTCATGACTTAAAAATGTTTGAGGAAAAAAACATTGTTATAAAGTGTTACTACAAAAGCAAACCCTGGAAATGCTTTATACAGGGTGATGGATTCTAATATAGGTCTCAAGCTTGAACTGAGGTTTACCTGGGTGACAGGTTCCTTGGAGACACTGAACATGCTCCCATAGGTCAGCGCAAGTGCGAGGACACTGATTAGCACAGGTGCCTTGGTAGGACCGTTTTCGATCCTCACAGTGCTCACCTAGACAATAGAAAATATCAAAATATCACTCTCCCTCTTCAAAGTCATAAACAAATGTGATCAGCATCTTGTTACGTATCCAAGGGGTCAATTTTCATCTAATTGACCACACAAGATAACCTTTCATCTACAGACATAACCCCACTATCTATCTGGCCTCGAAATCCAGATCGTGCTGCTCAGTGCTTGTTTACATACAAGAAGACATAACAAAATCGTCAAGGTCTCCTGCAAAGGTCCTGCAATCTCTGCGTAAAAGCCAGACCTCAGCATTCCATGGAATTACAAATAATTTTACTGCTTAAAAGTCTAAATAATCAAATGTGTTGAATGAACAAGATGTTTAAATCAAATGTTTGAAGAATCTGCTTTATCGAATGATGGCAATAAAATGAATTGTGTTCCTGCAATGATCCATTTCAGATCTTATTATCAGTGTAACATCCAGCAATGGTCAGTTTTTAAGTACAGTTTGACCCTTCGACATCTGGTCAAAATGGAGACATGAGACTGCACGTGTTCCCTTTAATCGGCCTGCCTTCATCCCATCAGCTGGAGCTCAGGGCCTCTCTGCAGCTCTGAACACATGATAACGTATTGTCAACAATGATGTTCCCTCCTCAAGGTCCAAGCTTCCTTTATCGTCCTACAGGATTCTTCATGCCTCTGAATAAGGAACACTCGCAGCTCGGATTAGTTGCTAAATCAAAGAATGGTTTCTTGAATGAAATATGAACATTTAAAACTTATAAGTTAGATAATCATTAAATAAACGTTTGTTTATTGTCACTTATAATAATTATAATATCATGAAATGCTTTCATTAATCTGTGATTGAAGTTTGAAATGAATGTTATGTTATGATCACATTGGAAGATTGATATATGTTTCGGCATGTTGATATGACAAGGTGTCACGGTGTAGGAGGTGGAGACAGCGGACCATGTGTGGATGAGCTGAACGGAGGAAAAATGCAGGCTTCGGTAAAAGTAAAAATGGTTTAATGGCAGGATGGGATGAACAGGACACCGACAAACAACAACAACAAAGAACTGACAAAGGACAGGGGCCAACAGGTGGTTTAAATACAGAGGGCTAATTAGGGAAACATGGGCAGGTAAACCAGGGACAGGTGAGAACAATAAGGGCAATCACGGCAGGAGAGGAACACAGTCAGGTTGGGCAGGGGCAGATCGTGACAGTACTCCCCCCTTAAGGGCGGATACCAGACGCCCACAAGGCTATACAACAGGAGACGGGGACTTGAGGACTGGAACATGACTTGGACTGGAACATGACTTGGACTGGAACATGGACTGGAACATGACTTGGACTGGAACATGACTTGGAGTGGAACATGACTTGGACTGGAACAGGCGTGGGACCCAGGCAGAGAACTGCAGGAGCAGGCGTGGGACCCAGCATGGACTGCAGCAGTACGAGACCTGCAGGCATAAGCCCCACAGCGTGGACCAGGAAATGGACGAACGGCAGGAGCGACGCCAGAAAACCAGGATCGGCGGCAGGCACTCGACAGCCGGTCAGAGCAGGTGCACGGCACAATTCGCTGGATCTCCGGCAGAGGCTTGGGTGCAGGGAAGCAGGAGAAGAGCGGGGAGACCAGCCCTACCACCCCGGAGAACGATGGCGTGCGTAGGGGGTGTAACTCCTTCCAGGCTCCAGGATCCGCGGCTTCCATGACACAAACGGGACAGGGGCAGAAAGCAGGAGAGGAGAAGGGCTCGACCACCGCAGGAAATGAACTGGATGCGCGAAACCCACCCAGAGGCGTGACCACCCCGGAGAACAGGTAGGATGCGCCAACACCCTGGGCCAGAATCTCCTTCTGCTAAAGGACAAAAAAATAAAAATAAATCCTCCAGGGAGATTTAGAAATGCTCACCACAGGTCCCGGTTTGGTCAGTTCATTCTGTCACGGTGTAGGAGGTGGAGACAGCGGACCATGTGTGGATGAGCTGAACGGAGGAAAAATGCAGGCTTCGGTAAAAGTAAAAATGGTTTAGTGGCAGGATGGGATGAACAGGACACCGACAAACAACAACAACAAAGAACTGACAAAGGACAGGGGCCAACAGGTGGTTTAAATACAGAGGGCTAATTAGGGAAACATGGGCAGGTAAACCAGGGACAGGTGAGAACAATAAGGGCAATCACGGCAGGAGAGGAACACAGTCAGGTTGGGCAGGGGCAGATCGTGACACAAGGTCATCACCATTTACACTCATACAAGGACAAAATAAAGTAAAGTCAAACTCGTGACACATAGATAGTCCTTTACCCCAGATCAGAGCATCCGGCATCAAAGAAGGTGTGTTTCTTAGGTTGTCTTGGTAATATTCCTTAACATGTCAACCTCTGGTTGACTACACAAATCATAACATGAGAATACAAAAACAGAGCTCACTTTACGGTGACTCAGTTCTTGAGAAAGCTTCAGACCGGCCATCTGAAGCAAAACCTCTCTAACCCATCAAAGCTTTTGACATGCCGTGAAAATCTTTTTGCATCTGCGAAGCTGACACAGCAAACGGTTCCTACAGAACAAGCTGATATTGTTCCGATTCCTTAAGAGTCCCCGACGCGCGGTTCCATCCATCTGTCGTGACCAGAGACATCTCTCGACTGAAGAGTCGGTGCTACGGTTTCTACAGCCCTCTGTGCCAGAGGTCATCCGACCTCTCTGACCTTCGGATCCACGAAGAGGGTCTCCGAGAATGGGTGAAGTAGACACACAGATTGCGTCTGATGCCTTTTGATAATAATTAACTTCATAGATTAACGCAAACCAAATTCTTTTACACCCAGAACTCAGCTTTCTTACATATGGAAGTTCTGATAACATCACATTCACACATAGGCACCATACACTACACCTACTCCATCTAAATCCATCCACTCGCAGTTTATATTAGTTAACGTGTCATGTTTTAATTGTTTGGAAAATAAATTCTTACTTTATAAACCTGACTCTTTCCTGAATCAAAACGAAGTGTTTACAATCCCTGAATAAACAAATAACCCTAGAATCTTCTGATTAAACACAGTAAAGACCAAACAGGTCGATATTCTATATTTAGATAGAGTATCACGGCTTATTGGTCATAAGTAGAGGTAATATATGTAGCGATAAATATAGATCTATATCTATTTTTCAAATGTGGCATGGATTTAGCTTGCTTCTAACCTTATCTTAATTAATCGGGACACCACCAGTTTCCGGAACTGGACCGTTGGATTTATTATATATATATATATATATCTTCGCAATGTAATCAGTCTCAGAGTTAGCACCACAAATTGATCTTTTTTGGTTCCATATCGTGTTAGTATGGTGAGAAGGTGTAGTGTAGTGGGTTCGGTGGCTCTGTGGGGTTGCACTCTTTTCCGCTGGACTTAGAAATTAGGCACCAGTGATTGCGAGCAATCGGTGTCTGGAAAACAGTCAGCTCCCGCCTGGTGCTGTAGTCTGCAACCAGCATTTTACACGTGATTTCTTCGCCAACATGATGGAGTTTGAACTGTGTTATTCTTATTCTGCACGTCTCTGTTTGAAGAGGGAGGCGGTGCTCACCGTGGCTCTTCCGCGATTTAGATGCAGCCCACCGACTCTGCTCCCCCACCATGGCGGGCTCCAGTCTGAGGTGAGTAAGCTAAATAAAAGTTTTAACATCTTCTAAAGACAATTCCCTACCTAAATGCAAAGATTGAGAGACGTGGTTCACTTCTGCACTGCCTTCGGGCTGATTTATCAAGTTCACAAAATGTGGAACGGGATGTAAGGTTAGAATCAGCGGCGAATCGAAACATATCTCGAAGCCCTGGCCGAAGAAATGGTCCACATGACTATTACTGTCAGGCTCGGAGAAAATTCGGGTTGTTTTTGTGTCAGTCGGTAAATCTGCTAACAGTGGCTCTAACTTAATTGGAGTAAGATGGCGCTTGCGCATGGTCACGCTACGAGCTGCTCCTCCTCTTTACGCACTGATACCTTGCTTTTTATTGGTTTTTATTGGTGTTTTATTGGCTTTTATGCACTTTTCTTGTCGCTGATCCCTTTTTTGAATGGTGTGGATCCTCTGCCGACATATGATCGAGCTGCGCTGCTGAGGCTTCGTCCTTCCGTTGATGTAGCGGGCAGCGCGCGCTGGGAACCGGGCTGTGCGAGCTATGAACCTCACGGACGATGCTGCTGGTTGAACTGCCCGCGTGCTCTCTCCACCCAAGCCGCGATGTGTCGGCCCTCTGTCCGCCCCAGCTCGAGAAGGAAACATCGGAGAAGACGAGGAAAGAGAGGTAGCCGGCGTGTGAGACGTCGGCCTGGATCCCTGAACAAGCGGCTGGCCCGATCCGGCCCAGCTTCTGACCCGATGGTTCCGAGATGTCTCCTGGATTACTCGGCGCCCTGCTCAGGGAACTCGGCCGGCTCTGAGGGTGAACCGGCACCGCGCCACGGCCGATCGGCTCGAAGATCTCGCCAGACTGGGGTTTGCTGGGAGAATCTGCGCTCGGTTACGGGCACAGAGTTAGAGGGGACTGGGTCCGTGCGCGATCTCGGTGCTGCAGCCCCGCTGCAGACCCGGTTTGGTTTGGTCAATGCCAGGTCTGTGCTGAACAAAACTTTTATTCTTCGTGACTTTTTTATTCAGCATGACCTGGGTTTTCTCTGCATCTGTGAGTCCTGGATCCCGTTTGGTGACACAAGTTCCCTACTCGAGCTCGTACCACCTGGCTGCTCGTGTTTTAATACCCCCAGACCACGGGGCAGAGGTGGAGGGCTGGTTGTTGTTTTTAAATCCAGCTTTCCTTGTAAACAGCTTACACCCACCATGTCATTTTCTTCCTTTGAACTGTGCTTATTTGAGCTGTGCATCTCCCCCCGCCTGCTCGTTGTGCTGATTTATCGCCCTCCAAAGACTGACTCTAACTTCCTTAATGATTTCTGTGATCTTGTGGCAGACTGCATCCTAAAATATGATTAT